TATAATATAATATTTTCTGGAAATGGGTGATCAGAAGGATATACCATAGACACCAAATGAACGGTACCAGGTGAAGCTGAATCAGGGACCAGTGATAACAAGGTTCAGTCCTTGGTCCCGTACTGTTCTCCATCTATACTGCCTCCCTTGGTAAACTCATTAGCTCCTTTGGCTTCCAATATCATTTCTATGCAGATGACACGCAAATCTACCTGTCCTCTCCAGATCTCTCCCCGTCCCTCTTGACTAGTGTCACTGACTCCCTCTCTGCTGTTTCTAACTGCATAGCTGCCCACTTCCTTAAACTAAACTTGACCAAAACTGAAATTCTGGTCTTTCCTCCCTCAAGTGTTGTTACTCCTGTGTCTGTCTCCCTCCAAGTCAACGGTGCTACCATCAGCTCCACCATGCAGGCTCGCTGCCTAGGTGTTCTCTTTGACTCTGACCTCTCCTTCAAGCCTTATGTTCAATCTATCGCCAAATCCTGTCATTTCCATCTCGAAAACATTGCGCGCATCTGACCCTACTTAACCCCAGATGCGACTAAGGTGTTGGTCCATTCCACTGTCCTTTCTCGCCTTGACTACTGTAATCTGCTTCTTAGTGGTCTTACGTGCTCCCAACTTGCGCCGTTACAGTCCATAATGAATGCGGCAGCGAGGCTCATCTTCATGTCCGCCCGCACCTCCCATGCCTCTCCCTTCTATAAAATATAGAGCTCAATTTAAAATTCTGGTTCTTGCTTTCAAATCTCTACATAATGCTGCTCAAACCTATCTATCCACCCTTATACACAAGTATGTCCCGTCTAGGCCCTTACGATCTGCTGAAGACTTACGTCTATCTTCTGTCCGTACTCCCACCTCTGATGCTCGCCTTCAAGATTTCTCGAGGGCTGCTCTGTTCCTGTGGAACTCGCTTCCCTCCTCCGTTAGATGCTCACCCAGTCTCCACTCCTTCAAAAAATCGTTAAAAACCCACTTCTTCATAAAAGCATATCAATTAAACTGTTAATAACTCCTGACTGATTCCTCTTCTGCAACTGTCACTAGTCTAATACTATCCTTACCTTTTTGTGTCATTTTACCCCACTCCCTCTAGCATGTAAGCTCATTGAGCAGGGCCCTCAACCCCTCTGTTCCTGTGTGTCCAACTTGTCTGGTTACAACTACATGTCTGTTCGTCCACCCATTGTAAAGCGCTGCAGAATTTGATGGCGCTATATAAATATCATAATAATAATAATAATAATAATAACAGAATGGGCAATACCATAAACTAAGTCACACAACTAGAGCATTAGATTTGTATGGAATTGAGCTACAGGCACAGAACACGTCCGTAATTTAAAGTGTAAGGATTATAAGCCATCTCCTAGGTAACCTGTAATTGCTTTTAAGAATGATGCAAATGTACCTGTGATTGGCTGAAAGTTGAGAGCATCCAGTGGAGTGTGGTGTCTTCTGACGATGCAGGATGTAAGCCTTGTCACTAGGTGGCGCAACTGTAAAAACAGCTGTATAGGAGTGGTTGACCTGCAACAACTCTGTAACCTAACCCTGTGAAAACAGGTGCATCTGATGGCAGCCAAGGACACCGAACATTTAGATCATGTTAAATGTATATTTTCCAACACATCGTGTTTCGTTCATATTAAATGGTGCAGGCAGTGCCAAGTCCTAGTTGCCTGTTGATATAAATGCTATCATACTGTAACTCCATCTTTGACACTGTTACATTGCATACTGATTAAATTAAACCTAGAGATCAATATCAGAATATTACTACAAAACAAATCTCAGGCCTTCTATTTTCCAGTTATATAATGTATATTTTAGTTTGATTATTTTGCTCCATGCTTTGTTCAGTTTCCTTTCACAGCCTTGGGAAAAATGTAACTTATATTGAAATAAAAATTCTTTGCCCTTGCCTAGGCAGCCTTGATAATTGTGTGTGAGTTTCTGCTGTAAGGTGGTTAGAGTGGGCGGAAAATATGTGGATATGTTTGTGTATTAAAGAAGGTGTTAGCAGAACAATAATCAAAGTAATTTGAAAAAGATAGAGAGAGTGGTTACTGAAGTTATTCATTAATACAAAATGAAAAGTGTTGCACGACTTGTAGACATATTGAAAGGACGGCACTTTCGATCTAATAAATTGCTTAATGGAAATGTCCAAAATCAATAATATCCACAATTCTCGAACATATGGATGTTTTTAAAAATACAAAAAAACAAGTCCTGCGCTCAAACTCCCACTACTCTTGTGCGGCAGCAATGACCATAAAACACATGAGCCCCAATACATACAGTAAAAACCAAAGAAAAAAGTAACCTGCGCTCTTTCCCAAATGTACACTGCTCAAAAAAATAAAGGGAACACAAAAATAACACATCCTAGATCTGAATGAATTAAATATTCTTCTGAAATACTTTGTTCTTTACATAGTTGAATGTGCTGACCACAAAATCACACAAAAATTAAAAAATGGAAATCACATTTTTCAACCCATGGAGGTCTGGATTTGGAGTCACACTCAAAATTAAAGTGGAATAATACACTACAGGCTGATCCAACTTTGATGTAATGTCCTTAAAACAAGTCAAAATGAGGCTCAGTAGTGTATGTGGCCTCCACGTGCCTGTATGACCTCCCTACAACGCCTGTGCGTGGTGGCGGATGGTCTCCTGAGGGATCTCCTCCCAGACGTGGACTAAAACATCTGCCAACTCCTGGAAGTCTGTGGTGCATGTGACGTTGGTGGATGGAGCAAGACATGATGTCCCAGATGTGCTCAATTGGATTCAGGTCTGGGGAACGGGCGGGTCAGTCCATAGCATCAATGCCTTCGTCTTGCAGGAACTGCTGAAACACTCCAGCCACATGAGGTCTAGCATTGTCTTGAATTAGGAGGAACCCAGGGCCAACCGCACCAGCATATGGTCTCACAAGGGGTCTGAGGATCTCATCTCGGTACCTAATGGCAGTCAGGCTACCTCTGGCAAGCACATGGAGGGCTGTGCGGCCCCCCCAAAGAAATGCCACCCCACACCATTACTGACCCACTGCCAAACCGGTCATGCTGAAAGGCAGCAGAATGTTCTCCATGGCGTCTCCAGACTCTGTCTTGTCTGTCACATGCTCAATGTGAACCTGCTTTCATCTGTGAAGAGCACAGGGGCCAGTGGCGAATTTGCCAATCTTGGTGTTCTCTGGCAAATGCCAAACGTCCAGCAAGGTGTTGAGCTGTAAGCACAACCCCCACCTGTGGACGTCGGGCCCTCATACCGCCCTCATGGAGTCTGTTTCTGACCGTTTAAGCAGACACATGCACATCTGTGGCCTGCTGTAGGTCATTTGGCAGTGCTCCTCCTGTTCCTCCTTGCACAAAGGCGGATGTACCGGTCCTGCTGCTTGGTTGTTGCCCTCCTACGGCCTCCTCCACGTCTCCTGATGTACTGGCCTGTCTCCTGGTAGCGCCTCTACCCTGACAGACACAGCAAACCTTCTTGCCAAAGCTCGCATTGATGTGCCATCCTGGATGAGCTGCATTACCTGAGCCACTTGTGTGGGTTGTCGACTCCGTCTCATGCTACCACTAGAGTGAAAGCACCGCCAGCATTCAAAAGTGACCAAAACATCAGCCAGGAAGCATATGAACTGAGAAGTGTTCTGTGGTCACCACCTGCAGAACCACTCCTTTATTGGGGGTGTCTTGCTAACTGCCTATAATTTCCACCTGTTGTCTATCCCATTTGTACAACAGCATGTGAAATTGATTGTCGCTCAGTGTTGCTTCCTAAGTGGACAGTTTGATTTCACAGAAGTGTGACTGACTTGGAGTTACATTGTGTTGTTTAAGTGTTCCCCTTATTTTTTTGAGCAGGGAATATTTAAACAAATGGGGGTTATTTGGTTACTCCAATGGCCATTGAAGGGAATGCTGCCTGTCACGTCAAGGCAAACCTCTTAAGGGTTAAGTGCTAATAAGTATGTATGGCTATATATAAAAAAAATACCCCTCTCTATCTCATTAGAGATATCTTTGCCAACGGCTCAAGGAAGCAAGGTGAATGGTTAGTGTAGGACCCACCTACGGGGTTTGCCTTGATGTGGCAGGTGGGCATTGGAGTAACTAAATAACCTCCAATTGTTTAAATATACATAGGGATTTGGGAAAGAGCGCTCAAAACTTTTTGCCATTCTTTGGATACATTATGACTTTTAAGACAAATACCAAAAATGGTGTACAAAAACAATTCTGCCAATGTTACAATTGTTATATTTTATTCTACTATCGAAAATAATCCTGATGGGTCGTCTTCAGGATTGGAGCCCATATACTATATATAGCAGTTACTATGTATAATAGCTGTTTCATAACGGATGTTTGTATACCATTTGTATTATAAAAAAACAAAACAAATGTAAGGTAACTGACAATGAGAACAAAATATTAATATTAATCACCTAAAACGGGACTGCATCACATACAGGAGAGCGACTTAATCATACACATACAGGAGAGCGACTTAATCATACACATACAAAATAATAAAAAATGGTATGTGAGCGCTCCAAAAAATAAAATAATGACCACTAAAACACTGTACACCAAAGCAGCAGCCGTAGTTGGGGACCAAACTAAATCTAGTAACAACACTGGGTTAATACAAGTGAATGAAAATCACTAAGAATGTATACAAAGTATATAAAACATCATTTATTAAACATAAAGGAAAATAATAACATATGAATCAATATTATAGCAATAAAATGTATCACATAAATAAAGACCAAAAGTCTAGAGCAAATGTCTAAGAAGTAAACACAGTGTGGGGCCCCTTACACTGATTAAATAGCCACTGGAACTAGAAATGTGCACATATAAAAAGTAATATATAAAAATGAAAGTTGGATAGAAAATTGAAAATCAATACCCAGACTCATACACTATCTCTGCTGGAGGAGCTCATAAACCAGCCAAACCACCTGGTCAGGACTAAGGGAGTTGCAATGAGAATATCCCAGAGTAAAAAATACTGTGGGGGTCAGCCAGAGCAACTAACCTTGTTCGTCCGACCTTTTGGTAATGTGATGGGAGCACACCAACTCCTAGATACGAGAAGTGCAGAGGATACCGATCCCGCCAAAACAGCTGCCGAAAATCACTCCCAGACCGTAAGTGAAGGACCGGGTTGGAGATACAGCAAAGAAAATAGGATAGAAACACGTCTACACGTTTCGTCCTTACTAGAGGACTTTCTCAAGACAAAGTTCTGCTATCCAGGGGCAAGGTATATATACATCCCCTCTCTTAAAGTGGTCATAATTAATCAATTAACAAATTAGTTCCAAATTACATTCCAATCAGGATGAAAAAAATACATTAATTAATTAATTAAAAAACATAAATTGGTTAGATCATTACTATTTCTACAAGATATCGGAAACCAATAAAAAATTAAAAAATTAAATTAATAAAATAATTAATAAAATAAAAAATTAAATATATAAACATACACATATGACCTTCTTCCGGTCATAAGCATGGCCTCTAAAATTAGGAATATTAATAAATGCCAATAAAATGGCTTAGAGAGGGAGAACTCCACACTCTCAGTAAGGTGGTCATGCAAATAACCTGAAAAAACAGAGATATTAGAATGTGGTAAATATAATAAAGCATAACCATATAACAATAAAATATCTCTCCAAAATAACGATTGGGGCGTCCATGCAAAAGATGGACGACATATGGGCATATTGCAGTGGGGCCAAAATTATCTTTATAATTTTAAACACTTTCTTCGGATTGATAGATTAGTATGTATGACTTAAAGAATGAAAAATAATAATAAAAAATAAAAATAAATAAGCAAACACCAAATTAACAAAATGAGGTATAGATGAAATTCCAAAAATATCAATAAAAGGTATCTTATGTATCTCTAAATAAGATCCCCCACTCTTAATATATGCATAGCCCTCAAAGGAACTACACATAGTATAGGTGGACTCAATCAATTAAAATATATTGATAAACCTAACAATACAGGTATAAGCAAAAAACTAAAATCAAACAAAACAAGAAAGTGTCTATTGATATAATAATCATATTTGAACAATAGTAAAAAATCTTTCTAAGTATTTACTAAATAAGTTATTGGATCTTAATCCCTGCTCCCCCATAAAATGTCCTAGCTTAAAAAAAGCACTCTAACACAAAATAAATCTTCAAAGAAGAAGACTAAATAGGTGGCTCCTAAGGAAAATAAAAATAACAGAGAACACACAAATAGATGGCAGATCTTAAATATTACATTCCACTTCTTCATTTAACCCATGAGGAGTGAGAGTATTAAGCCGGAAGATCCATTTGGTTTCAGCAGTAATCAGAGCTAAATTCCTATTATAAGTCTTCTCAGAAATATGCTCAATACCCATCACTACTATGTGAGCAGGGTTACTCTCATGGGCCATTTGAAAATGTCTAGCCACCGAAGATTTCCTATCTTGATTAGTGATGGCTAGCCTATGTTCCCTAAACCTAGCTTTTAGAGGTCTGGAAGTCTGACCTACATACAATAAGCCACATGTGCACTTCAATAAATACACAATAAATGAAGTTTGTATTATACCAAGTTATTGTTTGCTCGTTCTGTATTTGGTTCTCTGGTTGTATTTCATGTGTTTCTGGATGGCCATCAAGGCAAAAAATAAAGAATAAAATAAAAAAATAAAAAATATTTCCACTTTATCATTATTGTGTTTCTTAGATTTTATATTTTTTTTTTTTCAAATTAACTTTCACTTATATTTATACTTTAAAGAGGACATGCCATCCAAACATAACTTTTTTTTTTTTTTTTTGGTCAATCTCTTTTTATTTAAGGCATATAGTAAACAGTACAGAAATAAAATATAACGAGTTATATCTCCACTTGACAATACACAACGACACATGTGATATACAGCAATATATACTCCTAAGAAATTGACCTCTTTTTATAATAATAAGGGTTAAACACGCTGGGGTAGTACATACCATCTAGATAAGTGTTAAAATGCAAGAATAAGTAGGCTAGGCGATTAAATGGGAAAGCGCGGTGAA